AAAGTATGCAATGATTTTTATAAAGGCTTTCCAAAGAGAGTCCTGCTCTTGCTCAAAAGTATGCAATGATTTTAGAAAAGAGAAACCTTCTCTTGCTTAAAAGTATGCAATGATTTTTGTAGCAAAAAGCACATGGCCCTTTCTTATTTGCGATTTGTATATTTGTTTGTGTTTTTGTTTAGGACTTTTGTTCTCTGCCGGCTTGTGTTTGTGTCTGTGTGACATTGTTTCAGGGCAGACATTTTAAAGAGGGGTTTTTTCTTTCAGATCGGAACTGGCTCTCGAGGTTCACGGCCCCGTTATGCAAATGTTGACAGCAGTCCCCCCAACCTTAACCACATGTCCACATACTGAGTCAGGGAGTTTTCCCTCCTCCTACTCGACTGAGTTAGCAATTTTAAGTGGCCGTTCTCTGTTGCTATTTTCTCCGCAAAACTCATATGTCTCGCTTCTAGTTTTCCATTTTCCCCCCTCTTTGTGTGTGCATTTTGTCTCGCCCGGCGGAAATTTGTTTGCACCGAAGTGATTTCTGCGGCGGGCAGAGAGTGTTTTTTGGGGTAAAGGAAATGGAACCGTGTTTCATTGCCATCAGCAATCTGCAATTTTCCCTGTCCAATTCCCTGGCAAAGACACACGGCAGCTAAACGAGGTCTAATGAAATTTCCATATGTGAGCCAATTTGGTCGAGCATAGTTGGAAAATTAATTGAGATTCGAAAATACGTTCACTATCGGACATAGTCGGGGTTTGATGATTCAAATCTATTTGACGGTCTTTTAATTAAAGAAAGGGAAAGATTTATTAATTCATTGAAAAGGATCAGCTTTGAGGACAAGCAAGAATAAAATTCTTAACTACATTTAAATCTTGACTAGAATAAAAGGAAATATTAGGTACAACAAGGAATATATATAAAAAAAAAGTGCAATAGTGCTGTCAATCTTCTGATAAAATATATAAATACATATGTTAATGTACTGCATTAATATTTGAGAGTAGGAGTAGAATATAAGTCTTATTTGTATACCTTTGGTATACTATTTTATGTATAGTTTTTGAAATCAGAATTTTTATAAACAAACCGGAAATTTTCTTAGTTTAATTAATATTTTCTGTAACACATAGAATCACTTATTTATATGATTTGTTTTCAGTGGGAAAAACTTGACCCATGTATGTACTTCAAGCCCGCAGAACTGACCCAGGTAACATCCCAAAGAACCCCTATATGGAAGTACTATTTTCCACCTTTAAGTGCTCCCCTAGGACTCACCTTTCTCCTGCAACTGTTGACGCTTGATGTCGCCTTTGAGCACTTCCGCGGTATGAACCAGTTCGTTGAGCTGCGGCTTTTTCATTTTCAGCTCCCGCAGAACTTTCTGTGAACAAAAACCAGGGGGATAAACATGGGAATATGAGTTAAGGATGCATGTTCCAGGAAGCATGGAACCATGGCAACGCACCTCCTGCTTCTCAATGGCCAGTCGGACCGCATCGACATCGTCGATGAGGACACTCTGTATCTTGATCATGTTTTGTTCCCAAGTCAGCCAGTCGGAAATTTGCAGCACCGACTTGTCGAAGCTGCCGGCCAACGCTCCAGTCCCGCTCGGTTCGTTATTGTACTCTGCGAATATATGCGAAAATGGGACAAATTGAAATTAGGTGGCAAGTAAAAACGAGGTAATGGGGCAAACTACTGGCTAATTAGCGTGACCTTTTTACCCCACAAAACCCACCCACACAAGAAGGCTTTTCTGCTGATGACGGACTACTCTGCTCATTAAACGGTAGGACCTGTGGTTTTCACTGTTCCTGGCTCTGGACCACAACTTGGCGGTGTAGTTATTGGGGTCACTGTAGCCGCGATTCGAATGCTGGAGTTTTCCCTATCATTCGCCTCGCTCTACTTTGGCCATCTATCTATCTATTTTTTCATTTCCTTTTCTGTGGGCATTTTTCCCTAAACCCCCACTTTTCTAGACTTTGTTGCACATTTCAGTAAGAGGCAAGTAAATGAAAAACTATTTCAATGAAGCAAAAGTCTCAAGTTCTTTAGTTGACGAGATGGCACAGTGGCATGAAGTAGATTTTAGATTCTTTTCATAATTTATACTACATATTATCATTTAATTTATAAATGACAAAATAATCAAGTCCTAATAACCAAGGAATAATTATTAAAAATCACTTCAGATTCCATATAATAATAATTTAATTTGATTTTCAACATATGCTTCAACTACACAAACAGTAAAAACCAATATTGAATCCCAAACCAAACTAAAGTCACTTCAATCCAATAACAATGACTGCACATAATAATATTATTTCAGCTTCACAAAGAAAGCTCTTTTTCACGCTTTCTCCTCAACTTTTCCACTTCCACATTTCTTCTATTAAATGACAATTTTCAATTGCAATCCATTGAAAGCCAAACCGTGGTGCAAATATTTCAAAACTTGAATAATCAAAGGGGAAACACTTGAAATACTTGAATGAAAGGAGACGAAAGGAGAATGCAGAGAAAAGTTTAAGTAGGCGCAGGGCAAAGTAAACGCAAGAAGGAGGAAAAAAATAGAAAAGGATCAGGTGGAAGGAGCCGACTTGAAGTCCTGCCGACAGTTATGAAAGTTTTTCCTGGCTCGAGTTTGCCAATAATCCGTGAAAACAAAACCAAAACAAGACCGAAAAAGCAAAGACACGTTGGCTTTATCTTTTTTATATATAATTTTTTTTTCCTGTTTTGGTTTGTAGTTTTCGCAGTGTCCCTTGGCAGGATTAGGCTGGTCTGCGAGGACAAGGGATTTGGGGCGACAAATGCCGCCTAGTCCTGAAACTGGTTTCGGCCCTACCAAAAGGACGACGCCGGACTCAGGACTTAGGAATCTGGCAAGCCGCCATGCTGGCCGTGTCAAGTTGAGGCGTCTGAAAGCATTTAGAGTGAGTGAGCGACTGAATGAATGAGAGTTCCAAGCACACAAGAAGTTGTTAAGCAAATATATACACTGGGAGAAATTTGGGGACCAGGAAATCGAGAATAATTCTGTGTATAAAATGGCAATCCATGAACTTGATTTTTATTTAAAATGCTTTCCTTTGGCCACAGAATTTTCGATCAGCGAACAGAAAGATCCTTTGTATAGATCATATTTTCTTCGTCAGATAGATAAATTGGTTGATAGATATAATAATTCTATTGCAATTTTTTAAAACTTATATACATTTTTCATTATTATAAATTGAATAAATTATCTAACAATTTCAAGAGTTTAGTTAGGGATCTATTTTTTTACCCTGTATATTTTTGCATTAGAAAGGAATAAAAAAGGAAACCAGCAAGGAATAATAACACCGCTGACAACAACAACACACACACACTCGGGAAAACACAGTAAAGTAGGAGTGGAAAACACGTTAAGTGTAAAATTTCTTTTCACTCATTCTGATGAATGTCCCAGGTAGGCTCATACACACACTCTTTGCACACCCCTTTTGTGGCATTGACGGAACAGGTGCAAAATGGTTGAAGATATTATAAAAAAAGAAAATAATGATAATAAAAGAAAGTATATATATAGAAAGGAAAATATAAAGCACACAGAAAAGGAAAAAGCGCTGATAACAGTGGCTCCTGCGTTTTCCTTCCTCTTCCCACACTTTCAATCACAAACCAAAAGGGGCTGGTTCTACCAGGAAAATGTCATAATTCATTAAAAGCCAAAGAAAGCGTGAAATTCTGTGGCCCCATCTACTTGGCCATCCTGTCTTTCCACTTGCCACTCAGTTAGGCTTCCTTTTCCCTCGTTTAGGGCGAGTCCAAAGATGACTTTAAGACAAACAAAACAAAAAAAAAACACAGAGAGTGACATTTAGGCGGAAAGGAAAGTGCTTTTAAAGTCTCATTTTGGGTGATGGATGGTTGACCTTGATGGGTTTTAATTTGTTATTTTGGCACAAGTTTAAGTTTCAGTTTAATGATGTTATAAATATTTATTTTTAAATTTAAACTAAACCTTTTCGAAGTATATTTATAACTGGATTGGATTTCAGAGGCTAGTATTTAACCGCTATCTGCACATTTAGTTAATTCAAGAAAGCCGGAGTTACACTTTTAGGTTTATATTTTTAGGTTTATATATTTAAAAATGTTAAATATTGCTTTTATTTTGTATTTTAAAAAGGGTATTCCCCCTTGGCGGTTTATTTACTTCCTTGTCGCTGAACGATTTATTTTCAAATGTTACTTATTTTTTACCAACAGCTGTTTCAAGCGCCTAAAGCCTAAAGCTAGAATAAAGTTAGTGAACATAGCTTTGGAAAGCTTAAAAATGTCAATTTGCAAAATATCCTTGAACCCATTTTGCACTGCTTTTCGCCATTTTGTCACTGCCTTCCATTTTCCTTTTAAAGATCTATGGAGAAAGCACTGCTTTGTCAGGCACATATCAGCTAGCTTTTGGAAGACTATGCAAGCAGTTTATTCGCCATTATTCAAGCAGTCCATTCTCAAGCAGTGTTTTGATATTACAAATTTTAATTTTAAATTGAAAGTAATTAAAAATTGTTGTATCTTATATTAAGACAAAGTTTAAATTTAATTTTGTTTTGTGCCCAAATTCGAAATAAATAAATACTAGTTACATTTATGGTATTCAAAGTTTATCTTCTTTATTTGTTTACCTATTTTAAGTCCCCTTGTGATATTTTTCATAAATCTAGTTACCAATTTCTTGTTAAGTCTATCATCATTATTAAACTTCTCTCACTCAAACATTTTTCATAAAACAGATGACATAAGAGTTGAAGTTTCTATTTTGTGAAAACACCTACTGTTACATTTAAAGCCCAACGCTGAGCCCGTCCTTATAAACTCAAAAGAATAAACAACTGCAGTCGTCTGGTTGTTAGTTGTCATTCGTATTTATAAAAACTACACTAAACAAAAATAACCAACAAAAAACTACGAAAAAAGATAAACAAGATAAAAATCAATTGATTTCTTGTTCATATATATATATTAAGTAATTATATAAAACTATATAAAATGACGAAGAAACCTAGCCTACCAAACCGCAAGAAGGTGAGCCATCTGGAGTTTTCGACTCAGGATCAGGTGGCGATCGCGGCCAGGGATTATGGTTTGATGAGGACCTCCACCAAGGCCCAGACACCGTATCCTCATGTGGATCCCGGTGTGGATGCCAACCTGCTCAAGGCCCGCCTATCCATGCGTCGCCATTTCGAGATCAAGCAGTCAGAAATATCGGGAATATCGAAGGACAAGATAGAAAGTTACCATACCATGAAAACTACCAAGTCCGCATTGACTGCAAGTTTAAAGGTTTGCTAGTGCGAATATCCGAGTTTTAGATCTACAATCTATAAATTTCCCTACCCGCAGAGTGTCCACATGAATAAGCAACTGGCGGGTTCGGAATCAAATTTCAAAACTTTATTATCCACCGGCACTCCGCATCCCACCAAGTCTGTGGCTCTGAATGCCAAAGCCCTGTCCACACGCCTCACCGATGTGAATTTGAAATTTGCGCAACCCAGTTCCCCGACGGCGGAGGATGTCCCAAGATCGCGAATAAAAAAGGTCCGACTGATGGACGCATCGACCGTGATTATGATCCAGCCGGATACGACACTGGACTCGGAACGGCTGAGTGATGTCAGTCTGCGGGTCACCAGGCTAGACTATAGTGTCGCAAATAGCCACTTGAGTGTGAGTTCTGTCTCGAGTTTTGCGGAGAGACGTAGGCTATTCGACGAGGGTGAGTACACTATCGCTAGGAAGGGTAAAAAAATGGGTGACATGATGATGGCATACACAACACTTGAGAAAAGGCTCGCCGACCATACTACCCAATTTGCCAAAAAGGCCAAGGAAGAAATTGAAAAATATATCAAGGCACAGGGACTGATCAAGACCTCAAATGACCAACTGAAATGGAGCCGACAATTCGACCTTACGTCGCAAGAGACCTCATCGGATTCAATGCAGGATAATACACACATTGTGGTCGAAAGATACCGGAATTCGGAGAATCAAAAAGGAAAATAACAAAACCCAGTCCGATATTAACTATAAGTTTGCCCTCTAGTGGGAGTGCCGGAGGAGACGATATTCTGCACATTTTACTCTTCCTTCTCCAGCACTCCGGTTAGGCGGTGAAGCGTGATTACATTCCACACATTTGCGAGCTTGTATTTTGCTAAATTATGGTCAAAACTTTATTGTATTCAAAAATAAAATCCTTTTAAAATAAACAAAATAAAGAACCAAACCTAATTAAGACAGCCGAAGGGATGACTTCACCAGTTATCGATAGATTAAAATTGTACCGATAATTGACTCAAAGATCAATTAATAAATCGATTAGCTAATGGAGTTTTTTCTTTTGTTGTAAACTTTTTTGTAAACTTTTTGATATGTTAAATATCAGAAATCAAACTTGAAAATATAGTCAATGATTTAACCCTTTTCCTTTGGATACATCTCTAGTTTCTATATAAATATATTCAATAGTTTTCTTTTTAATATATAACTTAATATATTCTAGGGGTTATTTCAATGTGAAAAGCATGGGCTCTCCTCCTCCTTCCCTAAATATTTAATATCAAAGATTATAGTCAAATAAGCCCAAGCCTAGAGATAATTATAGAGAACAAAGGAACTTTTTTATATTGATCTAAAATAAAAAATAAAATCAAACTCCCCCTTTCAACTTCAACTTTAGCTACAATATTTATCCCATTCACATATGTGTACGTCTGTTTTTTCAAAACAGGAAAACGAGACAACATGGACAACCCCATCGGGTAAGTCAACAGTGAAATCATTCACATAAAATGTCAAAAGTGCCATTGACAAGGCCCATTTGGAGCCTGCATAGCCCTTTTCCCCCACCCAAAAAACTTTACAAGAGAAATATGAAAGGAGAGCAGACAATAAACGTGACCTATGTTACCAGAAATTCCACAATATGCAGATCAATGTTCAAGTTGAAACCAGGCTAAAGTTTATTTCTTTAAGTTTTGTCCAAAAATTTATATTTTCTATTCCATTAAGCTGAACCACAATCGGAAAATCAACACGCTATCTAAACCAATCCGTAACGAAAACAATAAATTGTGCGTGCTATTTCAAGAGTTTCCGCGTCTTACATCTACAAACGAGTTTCGTATTTTTTTTGTTTCAACCCACAAATGATTATTAAATTTCAAAGATAGATATTTATATTTGTCTAGCATTAATTAATGGAAATATTAAATGAAATTCAAGTGATCAAGATTTGAAGTGGCCCAAAATGTTTAGTTCAAATGAACCTACGTCAATTGATGATTTTAAAAGAATAATTACTGAAATCCAGAGCTTTAAAAGCAACACCTAAAGCAGCTTATTAAGTTGAGCAATTTGTAAATTTGCAATTGCTATCAGCATTAAATAAACTGACTTTTAGCAGGACAAACACACAGTTGATGGGCAACCCTTAGCCTTTAAGTTGAGCCACTCTGCAAAATCAACTTGACACTAAACTTTCCCCTCATTTAAGCAGCGAACTCGAGCGTAATCCAAGCAAATATTTGAAGACTTCCCAGCAATCAACAGTTACATTGCCCAGCCTTGTCCTAGTCCTAGGTTCGGATCCCTTAAAGCTCCCGAAATAAAAACTATTACAAACAATTGAGTATTGAGGATTGAGTATTGAGTATTGAGTGGGTGCTAGCTTACCCGAACGACAACTGATGGTGGCACTTCTGGTGGCTGCATCTCCTCCTCGCTCCTTGCCATTCGAAATTCGGGAGCCATTTCTCAGTTCCGTCAGCGAGAGCTCAATGGAATCCGCATGAGCTATCAAATTGTTTTTGGTCTGCAAAAGGAGGACAAGTGAGTTGTAAGAGCTTGGAGGTTCTGCGATGTGAATGCGTTGGCCAAACCTTTTCAATTTCGTTCATCATGAGGGGCGTGACCTTTGGCATTTGGTCGTTCTTGCCAATGGCACCGACAATCACCTGTAAATCGTCGTGACGCTCCTGTAAAAGAACCAGAGAAATACATTTATTTAATTTCAAGAAATTTAGTTGTATATTTTCAACCTAATTTAAAGGTCTCTTTTGACCGCAGTGTAAAAATTCTTTAAATGGATAGATATGAAACTATGCAAATCAAGGTCTCCTCATCATTGTGGCTTGTAATTAAATATGAAAATAATCTGGCATAATAGAAAGTTAATAAATCATATTTCATTTATAATATATAAAAAATGAATTCCACCTTTACACTTATACTCTCTAAAGCTATATTTTAATGGTATTTTAAATTATAAAAACAAATGTAAATTAATAATAACAATGAACAAGCTTCAATACAAATATTTTTAGAGCCATACAAAAAATCAGGAAATCAAGGCAAAAAACCTTGATCGATTTATAACAAAAAAAAAGGCTTCAATAAAGATATAAAAACGTTCAATTTATGCAACGAGTGTCCTTAAGGTAAACAATAAATTCCAGCCTTTAAGCGGAAACGGAAGCTGTACAAACACATACACACAAAATGGCCACCGCTTGGGAGAAGTTCTGCTGCAGCCAACGGCGATTGGAATTCAATTTTAACTGCAATCATGCAGGGAACCCGTCGCTCGCACCGGAAAGAACAAAAGCAAGTGGGCGGGATGAGGGTGTGCGAACGAGTGTGCGTTGTGTGTGTGTGTGTCGCCTACAACCTCTCGAACGGCGTTTGTCAACCAACAAAATTGCATTTGACGGTCGTCACTGCAGCGCGATGCAAACTGTTGCCAGTGCAACCCAATGTTGTGTTGGTCTTCCGATTTTTCCTTTCGATTTTTCTTTTCGCGCCAAACTAAATTTTTCGCCAAATTTACAATCAATCAACGAGTCAACAGCGAATCCAAAAAAAAAAATAAAATAGGAAAAATATTTTAAGCACTGCAACCGATGTCCAAAAGAGACCGTATGCGACTGAAGAGGAGCAAACAAAAAAAAATATATACATATGAAAATAAAAACAAAGGCCCAAATATTCGCCGGCAACGAGAGAGAGGAGGAATTTTCCCCTCTTTCAAATTAGTTTTACCCATTTTCAGCTTTTTCCCATATGCTCTACTCTCCCTCTATCGCTCTCTGTGTGTGTTTTACTCTCGGAAAACAAAATGTTTTTTCTATTTTTGATTTTTTGTTTTATGTTTTTAAGAAGCGCTGGCGTTTGTCGCTACGCTCACGAGTGCCATAAAAAAAATGAATAAATAAAAATAAAAATAAACAACAAATGACTGCAGTGATTAATGACTCTGTTGTCTAGGGATGGAACTTGCTGAAACTGTTAGATTTATCATATGTTGCCAGCAAGGAAATCTTTAGTTTTTTGTCAAACAATTTTTTAGAGCAAGTTGGTTTTTAAATGGGAATAATAAAAATATATATATCTCAGTATATTTGTCAACTATGGAAAGTATTTTTTTTTTTTCATTTTTAGGGGATTGTATTTATATATTTTCATATTTATATCATTTAATAATGAAACTCTTCAATAATGCTATTAATAAAACTATAAGAATATTAAAGAAACCATTAATACATGAAAAACTACCTGATATAGTTGACTTCTGACTAACAATATATGTTGTTAATGAAAAATCAGATTTATATATATAAGGGAATATGTTTTAACCCCATAGCATACAAAATATTGTACAAAATACCTAAAAACTTATTTAATTTTCAATTTGTATTCGAAATGACAACTTTATTAAATCTTTTCATGTTTCAATCCATCATTAAAATGTTGAAAATGATGTAGAAAATGTAATCAAACATGACAAGAAGTCGCTACAGTGCTCCATCCCTTCATAAGACACAACAAAATTGCAGCAGAATCTCTTAAAATCTCTTTAGAAAAAAATCTCAGTCTGATCGATCTCTCTCTTTTCTTTTGACCCACTAAATATTGTGTTCACTCCTCACCGCCCTCAAACTGCACACAGATGTGTAACTATGTCAGATGTGTTTATTTTTGGGCCTTCTAATGGGCCCCATTTAGCCATTGTGGCCACTGCACATATCTATAGAAATATATATAGGAACTGAGATTCTCAAGGGGTCAATTAACTTGTGGCAAAAATCAACCAACCACATAAATGACTAATGGCTGCCTTCAAATAGAATTATTTAATTGTAGTCTTTAGAAATTTATACTTTGCTATACTGTCACCTCAAAATGCTGGCATTTAGCCAGTTTTGGCCACTTACGTTGATATCCTCCATGCGTTTCTCAAGATCACAGCTAGACTTTAGATCCACAGGTTTTTCTATTAAAACATTAATGCGACGCAGTCCCTTTGTGACGAGCTCCTCAATATTGACACTGTCCAATGGAGGAGCTGGAGCACCACTGCCTGAGGTCTTGGATCTATAGGGAATACAAATGTTTTAAATAATATTTCATTTAAGTGATTTATGGCAGACTCTTACCTGGCTTGTTGTACCTCGCGAAACTGTTCTCTTAATATAATTTGTGTTCGCATCACTAGACGGGATATACTTCCCTGTTTGCCATGGGTCTCCAGTACCAAAGAGTCTCCCTGTGATATCAAAGTGGCAGCATCAGGGGCAATCAGCAGGCGAAGATCCTCTCTGTTTAATTAAAAGGTTATTATATGGTTTATTAAGAATTTATTAAATCTTACGCCTCGCTTTCGTGACACTGTTCAATCTTGGCCTTTGTTAACTTTAGCTTGTAAATCATCTGCTTGGCCTGCTTATCAAACTCCCGAACTCTATCATCCAAAGTGTGTGGTTCCACCTCACTGAGGGGACTTTTCAAAGTGATATTCGAGTCATCCGCTGGTGAAGGCATTGAATCAAGTACTTTACTCAAAAATGAGTTAGGCTTCGACTCAATTCGACTCTGTAGAAAAACAAACATTTAAAACATGTATCTCTCAAGTTATGATATACTTCTTATAATATGCAAACTATAATATATATCCATCTATATATTTGAACCAAATTACCGTATCACTATCGGAGTCAATTGTTGGTGTCATTTCCATGGAGAAACGCGGTATATCCTCATCGTCGGAAAAGACAAGAGGCTCAACATCAAAACCGGACTCTTTGTCGGGACTATAGAAACTATCGCGACCAGGTGACTCCGGCTCCAGGGCATCCAATTCCGGTTGAAGCTGGCGCCAACGTTTTGGCTTGGACACCGAGACCTGTGGTGTCCGTG